TGTTGTGCGTCAGCAGGAGCGGATGTTATGGGGCCCGGGGGGCAGCGCCTGCACAGCGTCTCCTGCCCACAGCCTCCCGAGGGAACCAGTGCCACCTCCTCTTAGCTGAGTGCTTCTTGTAGAAAGCGGGCTTATTTCTGTAAGGAAGTTTCCTATAGGAAGTTTCTTATAGGTGTTTCTTACAGCAAGTGTTTGGCCATTTAGCGATAAAGAGATGGAGGGGGAGTCACTTACCATAAGCGACTGAGGCTGCATTTCAAGGCAGAACTGGGAGCTGGGGTTTACTGGTATTTCCTGCTGTGGATAGAAACATATGCAAACCAGCAGCGGCAAACTGATAAATGCTGGGTGAGTGTGCAGGCTGGCCAAATGTGAGTGGAGGTGGCAGCTATTGCATCGACAGCCTTACTCAGACGTTGAACTCATTCGGTGTTTATTAGTTCAAGATGAAAAAGCACACCCTGACATGCCAATATTACCAACAGTTCTCATGCTGCTGATGTGCAGCCCCAGGCCAAAATGCTGGAGGTGATTTTCTTTCTTCTAATTTGGGTGTGGGACCTGTTTAGGCAGGTTGGTGTGCGGGGACACACTGCAGACGGTGGCTCGGTGCACACTGTGGAGGGACCGCAGGGGCTTGCCCAGGCTGCAGCCCCCTGCAACACGCACCCAGCTCCCGGGCATCGCCAGCCCCCGCGCCTGGCCCTTACAGAGCATTACCAGGACAAAGTTCTGCCAGCCATTAAAAATAAGCTTTTAACCAGCTTAAACTTTCCCTCACTAATTCTTTTATGTGTAGTGTGATTTCAATGGTTTTCAAAGATGACATCTTGAAGGAGAAGCAAAATTGTTTTGAAATCCACCTTTCTGATCACCATTCACCAAAGCAAAAGACCCCGAAAGTCACCTTTAGCTGTAGGAAAGGGAAAGGTACTTTCTTTGCTTAGAGACCAAAAACCAAAAGAATAATAAATGCTTTGTTTGGAATAAGAGGAGAGAGAGAGAAGGGACTCGGCTGAGTCTGTGCTTGAACAAACAGGAAGGAAGGGATTTGGCAGAATGAATCTAAACACAGCATCATGTTGGGAAATGAGGCTAGGAAACAGCCCCACAAAAATTAGGAAAGTCCCAAGCACTCATAGAGAATCCCTGTTACCATGATATTGTTTTTGTAATGGAAGTGTGACAAAAAGGAGCTATTTTCTACTGTTTTTTGGATTCTGGTGGGGCATCCTGACTAGAGCAGCCAGAGTGAACAGCAGGGATTTTTCCCAGTGCCTGTGCTGGGGGAAGAGGTGGGTGGGCAGCTCCTGCCGTGGCTCCCTGCCGCTGGGCAGCTCTGGTGCTCGGGCCCCTTGGCTCGCCCACGCGAGGGGCCCCGCAGCCCTGGGCATGGGGTCTCTGCTGAGCAGTGACCCGAGGCAGCGACCCACGGGCCCTGGCAGCCCCTGCCGGCCCCCTCAGCCATGGCAGCACCTGAGGTTTAGCTTCGCACTTTGCCCTAGGTCACAGACCACCAGTTTAGCTGAGATCCAGCCAGATCGTGCACACCCACAGCCCTTCTCCCCTTCCTGAAGGAGCTTTCGTCTGCGTTGGGTTTTAAAAGCAATAGCATTACTAACCCTGAACGTGACCTGGCAGCCAAAACTCAGGGAAGGAAGCTTTGCAGCGACGCCAGGCTCTAACTGCTCTCTGTACCACCCGGCTACTACCACTAATGTGATGCTTCAAAGCTCTCCAAGCTGCCGGAGCCAGCAGGAGGAATCACAATTAAAACGAAAAGCCACAGTCTTCCAACTAGTTTGTCCAGAAAGAAGTATCACAGTTTGTATCAGCATATCAACAGTGTAAACTTAATGAGAGTATTTGAAGATCACCACATTGTGGTTTTATAGCTGAAGCCAAATTCTTCCTTTATTTACAGCCTAATTCCTCTCTCCTTACGCAGTAAGAGTAATCCAAAATTTGGCTCACATATCATCATACAGAAGTGCGCTGGTCTCCCAGAAAGTCACTAAAAAAACCCCATTGTTAGAACAAGGATTGGAAACAATGAGCCACTTTATTTACAATAATTATACGATGATAATAATTATAGAAACAAATATAATTATGCAAATAAATCTATAGCAATATATTAAATGATACATGTAAATAAATAATGCTAAATCTGCATTCCAAAAAGATGTTGTTACAATAACAACTTTGTATCGTTAATTATTTGTAGTGCAGAAGCACGCGGGAGTCTGGGTGGTGGCACAGGACTGTGGCAGGATTCTGTCTGTTCAAACAAGGCTAAACCACCCCGATCCTTGTACCTTGTTCCTGTTTCACTGGTTTCATTTAGCAGATTTGGGAGAAGTCCAGTCTGGTTAGTCCCTGCTGTCAGAACCTTGCCTCTTCCACCACCCCACCTCACTAGCATTTCTTTCTGCACAAGCCACGTCCTGCACTGCAGCCCTGCATTTCAGCATGAACAGGATCACAATAATTGCTCTCAGGTATTTGAAAACGCCCAGCAAGTGACACTGAAGTTGCAACAAGCTGCGCTGAAGTTGCCTTGTTGTGGGATGCCGTAGTCACCCTGGGACCGTTTTGAAAATGAGATCACGTAGACTGTGAGTGGGTTTGAAGGGTCTGAATGCATCCCTGAGCTTGTGTCTGCCACTGTATGGATGTGGGCAGCACGTAGATCATTGAAGCCATGCTTCTGGCCGGGATTTTGGACCTAAAGTGATAAGCCTTGTGATGCTCCTGTCAGGAGATGCTGCTGTGCTTCCCACACTCCCATTCTTTTGACCATGTTTTTCACACCCCTGATGTTTCTGAACTCTCAGCCACCTTCTCTGGGAGCTCTCCTCAATAAAACTAGGAATTTTATTACTGACTTAAACAGGAACACAGTTAAATCAGCAGGACTGTTACTCAGCAAAGACTGACGCATACCTGGCTTGGTAGGTTCATCTCATTTTCACAGTGTATTTGCAAACTCAGCATTCAATAAGCTGGGTGGGTGCTTCCACAAACAGATCTGCAGCCAGAGATCAGCAAAACCAGATCCTGAGGAAGGTGGGAGTTGATCCCAATGCCATATAAAAGCACAGGAGTTTTGTGGTTACTTTCAATAAGCACAAGATGCTTGTCCCACCCACCGACATCATTCGTGTGCAGTGTCCATGTCTGTACCCAGACAAGCTCGACTTCTCAAATCAGGCCTCCTGAATCACCCTTAAAATCACTCACCAATTTTCTCTAAGTTATTTATTAGACCAGAGAGCTGCTTCCATCGTCTCAGTTACCTGAGGTGACGTAGCTGAGGAGCTCTCCTGCAGAGCTGTGCTTATGCCAGAGAAGTGTAACGCTCCCCACACCACCCACACAGGGACAACTCATTCCAGAAATATTGTTTTTTAATGGGAATACACCTTGCCACATTGTGCCATGGTAGTTTTTATGCAAACTGTTATAATCTGACCAGTTCTTTCTGAAATTTACAGGCTAGAAGGAAAATGATGAAAATGTTACCTTTTTTCCAAAGTGGCCCTATTGGAATACGCAATGGATCAGAGGGTTGCATTGGTGAAAACAGGCAGCTTGAAAACCCTTCGACACCAGTAGCTGAGAAAGTCCCTGCCTGTCCTGAACCTTCTGTAGACGACATCTGGTCCAGGGACCAGGAGAAGATGAGTGAAAGGCCAGAGACAGCCTGCAGACCCTCACGTGCATCTTCCATCACGAGCAATGGGAGCTGCACCTCTGCTGGAGACAGCCCTGAAAAGGGGAAGAAGGGAATAAAGGGAATCTTTACAAGTGCACTTAAGAAGATGAAAAAGGTCAAGCCACCCAGTGGTAAGTGCTCCTCCAACCTCGTTGTACCTCCTCAGAGGCCACAGTTAGCTCTAGAGGGGCTGCACAAGGTGGAGAATTGTCCCCTTGAGCAACAAGGGTACTGGCAGGTTGAAGTGACTTGGCCAAGGAGCCTGGGGAAACATGGGCTGAGGGGAACATGACCTCAAGCCCCAGTCATTTGGTACCAAGGGCACACTCCTTGAGGAACTGACAGTTTGCTGGTTTTCTGTCAAAAAGGAGACTTATTTCTGCCTCTCATCAGGACATAGAGATCTGTGGGAGGGCAAGAGACCAAGGCATGCCTCTGCTCTGTTCCTCCATGAAACCACCACCCAGTGAGATCTCCTCTTCCCCCAGGGACAGCAGCGAGCAGCACGCGTAGGTCTTTCCCGGGGCTGATATCTGAACACACAGCTCCTCCAGTCACAGGCACTGTCCCTGCAGGGTGCCTAGAGAGGTAGAAAAATGCCTGCTCAGAGAAACCCAGAACTGGAGAGGAAAGTGCCCCTTGACATTTCCCAGGCTCACCTGCCACCTCAGGTGATACATTGCATTACCTGGTTCATAAACTTAGCAAGCTGTACCTTAAAATAAGTTCATTTCTTAGTCCTACCTCCTTTACTGGGGGGCTCTTCCAAAGTCTCACTGTTTTAGTACAAATTATCTCACTTCCAAGCAAGCCTTTACCAGGCTAATTGGCTTATCTTTCTCCATGTGTGAAATGTTTTCCCTAACTGGTGGTTTTTCTTCTCGGCCTTGAATTTGCTCAGCTGAATGAACCAAGTCTACTGAAAACAGGTCCTTCATGCCTTTGTTCGTACTGCTGCATTGCCCCATTCCCCATGTCTTTTTTTTAAATAAAGCAACCAGAATTGCAGAAAATATTCCAGATGCGATAGCCTCAGTGCCTGGTATGATGTTACCATTTTCCTATCTTGGCTGGACGTTCCTCTCTGGATACATCCTGGGGTCACATCCGACATTTTCACCATCGTCTTGCAGTAGTGATTTACGATTTACTAATTCTCCAGGCATCTCTCTTCCTCCTCCATCTCAAGCTGATTCACATCCAGCTTGCAGCAGAAAATCCTATTTGTTGCTAAGTTACTTTTGTTCTATTGGATTTGTATCTTATAATTCATGCTATTACATTTCAGCCCATTTACTGTTCAAGTTATCCTGTTGTTCCTGCATAACACACCAAGCACTCAGTTTCGATAATGTGTCTGAACTTTGTGTAATCAGCAGATGCCAGTAGGGCACTCCCAGCTTTTGTGCTGCGGGAGGATATGAAGTAAGATGAGTTTCATGAATAATGTAAGCTTTCTCCACCCAGGGTTTTCCATACAAACTTCACACACCTAAAAAAAACTTCTTCTGGGATATAACTTCTCCAGTTTAACTAATAATTTCCCAGACTGCACCGTATCAAGTAACTGGCTGCAGTTCAGATAGGATAGTTCAATTGTATCTATCTTGCATGCTGAATGTGTCCTCCAAAAAAATTTCGCAGGTCAGATTGTGCCAACCTATTTCTGGAAAACCCATGTGGTATTTCCTCTAGCACATCTTATTTAGATACATCTTTCCATCTCCATTTTTTTCTAAAGCCGTGCTTCTTACTTGAGGTCATTTTAATGGGAAGTGGGATAAGAAATAAATTAGTTAAAAAAACCCACAAATCTAAATATTGGGGAAGAAAATATGGGTAGAACACGAATATCTGTCCGTACGTAACAAACTGGTGGTGGGCATTCAAATTTCCATTGCCCCAGTTAGACCGAGGCTAGGAATTATCTGATATTTAAACAAACAGAAAGATTTTCTGTTTGGTGAAGGAACCTAAGATATGGCACTACAGAAATATAAACAATTTTTTAGAAGTATTTCAGAGCCATCATTTTATATAAAATAGAAATTTAAATCTTCACTATTGGGTAAAAAAAGGCTGTTCTTTTTCCACTAGTCAAACAAATCATGGATCTCCTTGAAGAGCAAAAGTTTTGTGACGCTGCCCAGCATCTGATTATCCTGGAGAAGAGCCTGTCTAGCAAAAGTGAGGAGGGACTGAACACCAGCCAGCAAGATGTCGAGTCTGTCTACGAAGTTCTGAAGCACAAAGTCTTCAGCATCTTGAAAGACTCCGTACTGCTAGCAAAAACAAACCCAGAACTGCTGCAGCAGGCAGTAGAGGCACTGAAAGAGCAGGAGAAAGAAGATCAGAACTACATGTCAGAGAATCCACCTGACCAAAACATGCAATTTAGACCTAGAAAATGGAAAGAGCTTTGGCTGGCTACAGTAAAGGAGTCGGTAGAGACTCGAATGAAAGACACGAGTCATACTCCTAGAACTGAGAACCTCTCTACAGTTGGCCAAAACCTCCTGCACATGGGGAAGACAATGAAAGAAGACTTGACAGTAGTTGTAAAGTACATTAAACAGCTTTATCCTCCTGAGTTTAACATGTTCAGCACATATGCAGAACTCTACCACAATTATTTTGCCTCCCAGGCGAAGAAAAGTGCAGAGTCTCCTCTCGAAGACAAGGATATCTACCTTCTCCTCTCATGGGTGCACAACATTTATCCAAAGTAAGTGAGGCTTTTACACGTTTATCCCTGGTGATTGACACAGGTTCACTGGCTGCAGAACCAGACATTTGCTTGGTTTATTAATCGGTATCACTGCGATGCAGTCTGGTATGTGGCTAGGGACACGCTCAAGGCTTCTAGTCTGTAAACCAAGTGCTCACCCACCCCACCATTCAGGCTTCTGGGCAAGAGACATGCACACAGATGTTTAGGGCTTCACTTGTGGGGTAAATTGGGCAGGTTCGTTGCCCTTATCTCTATTCCAGTTGCAGACCTGAACTCATTCTTGGAAAATTTGGAAATGTCAGCCCTCTAGACCAGAGTGCAGCCAATAAATAGAACAAGGTGAGATGCGGTTATCCTGGGCATGGAAGATGTTGCTCAGGCATCACCCACAGTCTGTGTTCTCCTCCAGGGTAGGAGACCAAAGGGTGACCCCTGTGAGAGGACATCATCACCCAAGGGTCGCCCTTCAGCCTCACAAGCCCTGTATGTTATAGAACTGAAAATACTCCTTGTTGTGGCTTATAGTACCGAATGGAGAATCGAAGGCTCTAGTTTCTTAGGTGAAAACCAGTAAATATGCCAGCAGTGTTTTTTCCACTGTTCTAAAGCTGTTCAACCTTCACCTCCACTTTTCCCTTCTCATGCTTCACCGACGGAGTATAATGAGTCAGTGTTGAACCTGGAAGTTTTCCAGCGCAAGTGCTGTGCTCTAGGTCAGCATATTCAGGCCTGACCCAGCAAGTGTTTGGAAATCAGTAGCTGCGAGGAGCAGGGCTCGGCCAGAGAAGCGCAGCCCAGTGCTGGGGACGGTGCTGGCCAGGGCAGCGGCTGCTTTGTGGTGTGTTCCCAGTGGCCAGGGCCAGGTGCCTGCTCACAGACCACCTCTCTCCATGGCCAGCAGTGGAGGGAGCAGCGAGGAGGAGGAGGGTTGCACAGCAGCCTGGCCCCAGCTCCCACTATCATATCAGAGCAGCCCGTGTATGGGAAACACGGCAGGGTACCCCACTGGAGCTGGGTAATGTGCAAACACGGGACTCAGGTGATGCTCAGGGTTTTTCTCTGCAGCTCCAGAGGGAGAGGCTGCTTCCAAACCAGTCCCACCATGACTTCCTTCGAGGCTGCTCAGGAGCACCCGGCTCGGCCAGCATGCACTGGGGACATGACAGCGGGATATGAAACTGTCCGCTCTGTTCCCAGCTAGGCACAAAACGCCAGCTTTTCATCTGATCACCTCCCTGTACTGACGGAGAGAGGCTGTGTCCTGGGACTATTCCCTCCTGCTGCTCTGGGTCCCCCTTACCCAACGTGGTGGCCGGTGCTCAGGAGGTCAGCAGAACACAGCTCCATTCCCTAGGCTTGCTTGGGGTCCCACCCTCACAGGTTCCACCCCTGGCACAGATTCATCTCCTTCAGGTCCTGCCTGGACTAAGGATAATATACATTTCCGTCTGTTTTTTCACTGATATCCTCAAAAAGTGGTAGTGATTTGCATCAACAGCTGTCTTGAATTATACTTCCCTTGGAAAATGTGATTGTTTGGCCTTTTCATTCCAGAGATATGAGAAAAGATCACGTTTTAGCTGAGGAGTTGGAAAAAGTTAAGCTTGGAAGCCTTTTGCCATCAAGTCTGAGCAAAGAGCTTGAAAAGAAATACCTTGACGGTGAAGAGGTGAGAATCCATTCAGTCCCTTCTCTTCCCTTTACTGCTCCTACATGACTCCTCGGAGCAGCTCTGACTTGTCCTGCACGCGCACTTCTCTGTGAGCCACACACCCTTCCAGAGAGGAGCAAAAGCAAGAGTGCTTTTGTTTCTTTTTGGGGGAGAGGTCAGCTTTCTGCTGGATGGGACTTGCAGAGCAAACTTCTGGGTAGCTCAGCTTTCTGCCCTGGGAGCCATCAGAAAAGAACTTCGCTGTTCTTGCAAACCTTCTGGTAGGAAGGTGGGAAAAAATCCAGCTACAAGTCTTCATGGGTAACTTTGCCGTTGTCTGTTAAATCCTCAGAGGGATTTATGCTCCCTTTCGCAGATGATGGATTCAGAATTACTTCTGGTCTCTGCAGCTGTGCCAGACCTTGGGTGAGCGCAAAGCATGCAGGTCTGGGCTTGAAAAATCTGTCTCTGATGGAGAATCGCCTGGTCCGCAGTAAATAACAGTTTCTCCAGTTTTTGGATCACTCTTGCCTTAATGGAAACAAGAAGCAACTTTTACAGTACTCCCATAGCTTAGTGCTTTTGGCATTTTGAGCTGGAATTCCCAGAAAATGAGAAGATAAGTTCCAGGTTTAGCTGTAGCCCGTCATGGTTTGCAGATGGGAGGGGTGGATGTGAGGGCTGCGAAGCGCACGAACGAGGCACTCGGTGATCAGAGATATATGCCAGCCATTTCAAAAGCCTTGCTGCACAGCGCGGACGCAAGCGGCGTCGGAGCAGGGAAAAGCTGAGAACATTTTGTTTCACTCTCCAGTGCTCATAAGACGTCAGGAGCGCTCACGAAAAGGGATTGCAAAACCAGGCCCAGAGGGTAGCACTGAGCATTACACACAGGCACCGTGCGGCTGGGGGAATGCGGGCTCTGGCACGTGTAGCTGCCTGCGACCTTGCCACCCACCTCTCCCCTCCCTTGCCCTCGAGATCACCACTGACGTCGCGGGCAGGGACGTAGATCTTGATCTTCATTCCTACTCTGAAATAATCAACTCGCTGTTGGGTAGACGGATACTGCGAGGGGGTTGCCCTTGCTGCCGTGAAGCAGTGGGTAAGGCGTCCCCTGACAAAGAGCCTTTGTTTCTCAACCAGGGCTGAGGAAGAAATCTGCTCAGACAGATAAATGGTGGGTGGGTGGGTGAGCAAAACCGGCATAAGGCAGGAGCCGTTACATCCACTTTGTGGTAAATGCTGTTGTTCTCTGTTCCCTAAAGGTTACTATCAAAAATTCACTGAGCAAATGTTTAGACAAGGAAATCCAAAGATGGAAAGAAGACAAAGAACCAGAGAAACTAAATGGACATTTTCAGAGTGAACTACTAGCAATATTTGTTATCCAGGTAATACAGATATATATTAAAAATAAACAATTGCATCCTGCCTGTGTTTAGGATTTGAGACTAACTATAGTCAGTTCAGGAAGGTGAAAGGCGAAGTCGCTTGCATAGGGCGGGAGTAGAGGTGGGAGGTACAGGGGAGCCCAAACCCATCGTCTGGCGTGGTCCTGGTCTGGCACGTGACGGAGACAAACTCCTCTAAGCGAAACAAGCAGGAAAGCTGCCTTCATTTCACTCTGTGCGGCCTCTCCTGCACCCCCAGCCGAAGCCAAGCCATCAGGCACTGGATAACGGAGCGGCAGAGAGACGGGAGACAGGTTTAGCTGAGCGAGGAAGCAGCGCAGTGCTGTTGCCCTGCTTGCTCCCGGGGAGACTGTCCCGGGCAGAGCTGCTCCAAGTGCTCACGTCCTTTCCCCATGCTCAGCCCTCTCCCTCCCTCAGCTGAAGAAGATTAGTAGAGTTTATTTTTAAAAAATAAACCCTTCATATACTGAAGTTGTTGTGCTTAGATTGTTTTTTTTGATGCAATCATATTCAGCAAAAAAAGCAAAGGAACCCAAGTGTTGCTTTCCCCACTTTCTCAGCTATTTTATAGACATTCTTTAATGCTTCTTGCTTCTTCACCTCTCTCCCTATTTGAAAATGGAGTCCAAACTGGCTTGAGCACACCAAGTAAGTGTAGCTGCTCTGCATGGTCCCTGGCTCAGTCACAGGGAGGGACGCAGAGGGCTGGGCGCAGTTACGGATCTGTAGCCCGTTTAACCAGAGAACCTGGCCTCTTTGGAGCAGGCAGCATTTAAAATTGATCTTTTTTCTTCATTTGTTAGAGTATCTACAGCGGCCAGAAGCGAGCCAGGGACATCAGCGCGGCAGTGGGCGAGGAGCTGTCGCATCGCCTGTCGACGGAGCTGCCGGCCTTCCTGAAAAGGTGCGGCAAGGCAGCGGCGGGCAGCAGGGCTGTCGGGGCCACGCTGGGCAGGCACTCATCCAATTCTCCTCTTCCCTTCTCCCCTACAGCTACAAGGATGCTTTTGAAGACTTTAAGGAGAAAAGCAAGAAGCACAGATACTACAAGCCTATACTGATTGCAAATATTAACAACTGCTGGAATTTTAGGTAAGCATGCAAAAGAAAAGGCTTTGCTCCTTCCCCGGCAGGCAACAGACAATAGTGTGATAGAGGGGAGGTACTCCAGAGTGGGCAGAGGAAGGTCTATCTGCCTGCAGAGGAAGGTTTGGAGACCTCTGAATTTTGCTCTGTCTATCCCAGGGAAGTGGTGGAGTCACCATCCCTGGAGGTGTTCAAAAAACGTGTAGGTATTGCACTTCAGGACATGGTTTAGCAGGCATGGTGGTGTTGGGTTGACGGTTGGACTTGATGATCTTAGAGGTCTTTTCCAACCTTAATGATTCTATGATTCTTTTGAGCATAAGTTATTCTGACCTTGATGGTATTTCCTTGCAGAGACTACGCAGATAAAAACATGGCAGAAAAGGATGACAACAAAGCCAATATCCTCAGCACCCTTGGCGACATTGAAAACAGCGGCTTTGACGTGCTGCTCCAGCAGCTCTTTGCCCAGCTGAAGGTACCGTACACATGCCCCACACCCTTCTGCCCCACGGCTCAGCCTGTGCCGGTGTCGGCCACGTTCTACTGCCGTTCTGTTGGTTGCCCAGGTCTCTGCTTCAAATGCAGCAAAGTTCAGAAGGGCTGTGGGGCAGGTCTCAGCATCAGTCAGGAAGCTCTGACTCACCTCTCCTTGAGCTGGTCCCCAAGCCTGCAGGCAAAACGGGCGCAGCGACATAGGCATGACTGTGCACAGGAACATCAAATGTGCTGATCACATCTAAGATAACTGCTGCAGGAGGGAGAGTCTCAACCTGCAAGTGTTTACACTCCAAACTGTAGGACGCAATCCCAAATCACATGAACTGCAATTATGCTACTTTTCGCTTCTTCATAAAGGTGGCCTGAAAGGCACTTTTGGTTTCTTTCTTTTTTTTTCTTTTTTTTTTTTCAATATATAACACAAGGTTTTTAAGTTAAGCAAGTGAGGTGAAGGGGAAGGCATAGGAGTCAGGAATGTTCAGCCTCAATCTCTCTTCCTTTCTCTGTAGGGCCCTTTGGAAGGCATCTGACAGAGCAGGGGTGCTTTTTTTATTTTCATATTTCTTTACTCTGGCCAAGAGAAATTGTGATTGAGAACATCTCATAATGATTAATTTTTTTCCCTTGTAGTTCCATATTTCTCTAATCAGACAATATGATTTAGACAAAACATTAAAAATGTGGAAATAAAAAAAGCATCTTCTATATGAACCTTTCAAGCCCTCAGTTGTCTTCATCATGAGGAATCAGGAAGGCAGCACAAACCCAATACAGGCCACCCTTCCCCTGCTCCTGTAAGTCATTGTCACACGTCCCTGCACACCACACTGTCACTGTGTAGGATACTGTACATGGAGAAATGCTAAATATATGCGTGCCTAGAATTTGTTTTGAGGGAACTGAGCAGATTTTCCTTTTTTCAGCCAATTTATAAAAAGTTTACAGAAAATAAGTGGGACTCCAGCAATGAAATTATGAATGAGATTATTAAAACCACCAGCAAACATATTTCAGACTTCCGGACCCTAAAGGACCCTTTCTACCAGGTAAGTCAAAGAGAAATGCCGGAGGGATTCTGGAATGCCTAGGCTGTGTTATCAGCTCTGATCCTCTGATGCTGGAGTTGCCCATGTCAAGCTGGTGAGCTGGCCTGGCGTCGGAGAGCCCTCTCAGGCAGGATTTCCATCAGCATGCAGTTTACCTAGATTAGCCCTGTAAATCTTACTCTTCTCCTGCAGAAGCAGACCCCTGCAGCTCTGCTGTGCTTTTTGCAGAGAAAACCACCCTTGCTGTAGAGAAAGTGCTCTCGGGATCACCCAGAACATGGCTTTGTTTATGTGTGGGTTTGGTTTAGCAACCTTGAAACACAGATACAATAGCATGGCTCTGTCTCGTGGCTCCTTCGATTGCCCTAAGGACTGCAGGAGATGGATGCAACTGGAACAAATCCCAGATAATTGAGCCACAACCACATTTTCAGTGGTGCTGGAGTATATATGAAATATCACCATAGAAAAAAATCTTTGATTTCCTGCCTTTGTCTTTTTAGTAGCTAAAACAAAATTATGATGTTTTGTGTATCAGAGAGAGGAAAAGGAAGAGCAGTATGAATTCCTGTTTCTATGGAGTACTGCTACTTCTTCTCTAACACGTTAGATCTCTTCTATGCCTTCAGCTCTTCCCAGAAGGAAACATCTGGAAATTCCCACACTTCATTAGTCTGATTATGAAGAAATTCTCGGCATCTAGGATGTTGCGTAATCAGTCATGGGGAGGTAGTTAACCAGACTCATTCAGGCATTTGGTGGGCCATGTTTTACAACACCCAAAACGTTTTTGTCCTCCATCCACAGACAGGGTTTGTTTTGTCCCCCAGCAAAAGACAGGTGGATAACCGCCCCTCTCCTTCCCAACAGGCTATTGTCGAGAAGATCCATGCTCGTTTGGTTAAAGAGTACATCGTGAGGCTGCTGAAGAGAAAAGTCAGCCTGAAAACGCCAGCGCAACAGCAAAACCTGGCCCAAAATGTCTCCAAGAACGCTGCCGAGCTGGAAGCCTTCTGCACCAGCAATGTACGTGAGTGCTTGCTCCATCCACAGCAGCATGGGCACAGTGAAAAAACAGGAAAATAATTTTTTCTGGGGCCTCTTGTTAACCTTGCCATCTCAGCTTTGTTTCCTGGAAGGCAGGACGTTAGGCAGAAAGAGGTCTCCAAGTGCCTGCGGGCAGGAAGGCTCCCCTGCCACCAGCCTGCCCTGCCCCGGCTGGAGAGTGATTATTTCATCCTCCTTTGTCCCGTCGGCAGTGGATTCCTTTTGAAGTTTTATATTAATAGGGTCAGAAGATTTAGCTAAGCACTGCACTGCTCTGGTGTCAGTACAACCTGCGTGAAGTCTGGGTTTTTGCTCTTCCCCCTCGCCCTTGATCTCCCTCACTCTGCTGCTTTTAGGTTGGGCAGGGGCTGGAATGGGCAGCGCGGGGTGTCTGGTACACAAGGGTTTCCTCCACCACAGCCCCTTGCTTTTTCTGTATGGCTGAAACACCCCTCACTGTGCTCTGAAATCACCTTCCTCCCTCCTTTCATGCCTCTAAATTTGCCTGCACAAAAGCTAAGCCAAGCCCTGTCCTCCACCACCCCATGCACGCTTGACTTGAGAAGGAACAAGCCTGAGCATCACTCGACGTGGGCAGGAGGTCAGGCACCAGCGCCTTGAGACGTCCAGCAGCCAGAAAACAGGTCCAGCTGGCGCTTTTACCTGAATGGGCAGGGAGAGGACTTTGGCAAGTCCTGGAGATGCTGAGGGCAGAGTTGTGTGCAGAGCTGGGAGACAGCAGCACATGGCAGCGTGTTACCTTGCCCATCAGTCCTCGTACGCACACCGGGCAGCGTAGAAACCCAAGGAAAGGAAAACATGATGGGAGGGAAGAGCAGAGAGAGTCTGTCGAGGTGGATGCAGAAACCTCAGTCTTATGGCAGACCCTACACCTCTTGTCTAAGAGGATTAAAAACCACCACAAAACAAATTCAATTTCTTCAAGGCTGACACAGGCTAGAAACATCACTGAAAACACTGAGGCACCTAAAATTGCTGCCTTCCCCATCACCAGGAAACAGCCTCAGGAGCTGGCTCGGCGGCATCCCCCGTGAAACACAGCTCCTGGGCTGGGCAGAGGTTGGCACCTCCACGATGCCCTGCTGACCGCTTTCTCTTCTGGCAGGGCTCTCAAGCTACGTGGCTGAATTCTGCGCTCCCCAAACTGGCTGAAATAATCCGACTTCAGGATTTGGGTGCTATTAAAATTGAGGTTGCAACACTCGCCACGACATACCCCGACATCCGGTAAGAGATGCTGAAGCAGATTTGCAAATACTAATATGGACTTTTAGTTGAGCCAGGAAACAGTCAGACATGAGTATAGGTGATGCTCATTTAGCCTGAGTCTGTAAAAACAGGTGGGGGCTGCCTGCCAGGCTGTGGCAATCCCAGCGCCATCGGGCAACAAAATAAACTGTTAAAAAAGGCCAGTTTATATATTCCAAATTCTGGTTGGATTTTCTCCTTTGCCTTGGAGGTTCCCTACCTTACCCCACGCCTCCCGGGGCGGTGCTGGGTCCCGCGTAGGATTGCCAGATGCTGAGCTGGCATCCGCCGGAGACCTCCATTACGCCATGGGGAGGGGGCCGCATCCTGGCACAAGGGACCCAGCACACGGAGATCTGCAGGGGGAGATAACATCTGCCCCTTTCTTTTGCACAGCAAAAGGCACCTGGAAGCGTTCCTGCACATCAAAGCCAATTTGTCACGCAGCGAACTGAAAAGTATCCTGGGCTACTTGGCAGATAGCACGGCATCCACACTGCCCGGGACCCCGCTCTTCTCCAACATCAACGTGTCCTAGGCCAAGGCACCCCTTGGCACCTGCCTTGTGCCGGACTGTGGGCTAAGCCAGGGATGGAGACCCTAAAGTACTTTGTCCTAATCCGGTACTCAGCATCTCTGTGGGAATCACTGTCCTCCGTGTACAGCCAGGAGAAGGGGGCAGCCGTGAGAGGAGCAGCACTTGCAAGGACTGGGGCTGCTCCTCGCTGCAGTCACAGACTCCCTCCAAGGTCTCCTTGGTGCCACTACGTTCTCTGCCTGGACGCTGCCCTGGTGCTCTGACCTCCGTCTACCTCACCGGGTGCCACGAAGGCCACGTCGCTGACTCCCCAGCTAGCCCAGACCGAGCAGGCACCTCCCATGTAGCTTTTTGTCATCTAAGGAAACGGAGGGAGACAAAAACTGAAGCCAAAATTTAGAGATGTTGGAAAAGTCCCATGTGAGTATGCTTGGACGCCATCTGCCTTCCTCTGAGCCGGGCAGGGGCGGCTGCACTGGCTGATGGGAGAGGCACTGGGTTTCGGGTCAGGAGAGGATGTCGCTCGGCCACGGCAGGACTCCTGCTATCCCCCTGCACCCCCAGACATGGGGCTGGGAGTGTCCCCGGCTGCACGCTCTGCCTCATGCAGCAGCGTTGCCCGGCGCCATCGGGGTCCCCAGAGCAGCCCCAGAGAGCCCAGCCGGGGCAGCCTGTGCCTCCTTCACCTCCGTGAGGTGGGAGCACCCGACCCTGGCAGCCAGCAGCCCCTCCACAGTGGCTCTGTCCCGTGACTTGGCATCAGAGTAGCACCCTGCTAACGGAGGGTTAGGAGCAAGCTGCCTGTTGGAACAGACTGTGTGGGCTAAGCGCCAGCATCTAGTAAAGCACTTTGGATGTTGCTTATGCCCTCCCTGTTGAGGCAACGGCTTTTCCAGACCCCGTTAATGTCATAGGCTTTGCATGGGTGGTGGAACTGGTCTCAGATGTCATTAAAACATATGGAGCACCCTGTATGCATCACCGTTCCGCTGCTCGCTCTTTCCCCTCTTGCTCTGAGGTAGACATGATGTGAAAACACAAATGGGTCTGTTGTGAAACTATATTTTGCTCTACAGCCCAGTTTTTTGGGAAGTGAATCGCTTGCCAAAACAACAAGGTGTTTGGTTAAAGACCTTTCCCTTCTGTTTTTCTCTGTTTCAACTTCTGTATCAGGCTGTAGAAAGTCAGTCCGGAAGGAAGACGCACAATGACTGTGCAAACCACGTAATATATCTATATACATATGCAGTATACCATTGGTATTTTTGCATCCAATTTTATTTTTTCTCAGAGATATTCATTTGCAATGTTTATATTTAAACAGTATTCAAATATGCTAGAAAAGTGACTCATTTATTCTGTCTCTGCCTGTTGTTTACTGCGTTGCCACATGTAGTCCTACGTACTCCTTCAAAGGGCCAATTCTTCCACTCCTCCCAGCCTTCTTCCATGAATGTCACCCACTGGTTCCAGGCAGGGAGGGTTTCCTGGACTACAGACAAGCTGGAAAAGCAGAGGCACCCTCTGTTTGTGCTATGTATGGGTCACAGAGCCCATCTTTCCTTGCTTTCTGGAGCAAGGACTGTCGTGTGCTCCGTGTTTGTGATATATGGTGTAACACGGTCCAGAACACCAGCCTCTAAGCACTACTGCAGTCTCAATGTTGAATAATAAAAAGGAATATATGTTGTCTCCTCCTGTTCATACGAGCCTTTAGCAGATGCAGCCCACCAGAATCTGAGCCAGGTGGCCGTGCTGGCCCCCGTTTACCCTCCTAGCAGCTCCTATTAAACCCATGGCTTTGCTGCTGTCCGTGGCGAGACAGATGCAGAAGGACTCCTCTGCCAGCAGGTTGCGTGACAAAATTGTGCACTGGCAAAAAACAGCACTTTGGTTTCAGTCTGCTGCCTGGCCACGGGTAGCACGAACCTCCCTCTCCTTTCGTAAGCACACTCACACTCCCACAAAACTTCACATATATACACATAATTTAAAAACGTATTACACATTATTTAAACACTTATTGCAGCTACAATTTAAAGCCAAATGCTAGAATGACTTCTGACAGTGCTGAGCACTCATGACAACTGTCACCTATTGTGCAACATTTTCGTTCCTAATTAGTGAAAGGCCATGTTATTGCTATAAATAATTGCATTTTGATATAGACATCTGTTAAGGGCGTACAGAAATGCATCATACAAGTGATTACGCTGGTCTTTTAAAAAACAAAATTTCCAGCTAAGTAAGTGCTCGAGGGAAAATAGCGTATCTACTTAGATCTCATAATTAGGATGGGTAGGAGAAAATGGTTTTCATACACATTTCATAAGCCATATGGAACCGCATTGTGCAATTCTCTTCATCCTGCTATAAAAGCCCAGCTTTCAGCTCTAATGAGCCCAGAAAACTAATTTATTTATCTTCCTGTATGACTCAACATTCACAATGGCCTTTATTTGTGTGTGGCATATTGTACATAGCCAGGTACTTTCAAGAGGTTGCCCGAATGTCTTCTGATAACAGTGTTATACGAATACTGACGAATAGCACTGCCATAAACTAACCAAATAAAATTTTCTGAGGTCAGTGTGCCTGGATTTTCTTTGTCACATAACCTCTGCTGATGTTGCTGTCTGCCCGTCCTTGGAGAGCAGAGAGCCAAGACGAAAAAGTAAAATCAGCTTTATGAAACAGTTGAGAAAGCTGGCTGCTGGGCACAGGCACTGTGGCATTGCGAGCTCACCAAGCTGGCTGTCATCAGTGCCACCAGGACATCAGCCTGCACCAGCCACACGGACTGAGCTCACACACGCAGGCACGCACACTCCCTGCTCCCCACCCATCCACCCCACCAGGCACTTCCGTCATTCGGCATTAGACCGGTGATGTGCAGTGGAGAAGACGCAGGGCAGCAAAGCACAACACACCTGAGGCATTACTCGCCTCCTCCGCTCCGTCTGCTGCACGCCAAGTCCCCGATGGCACCTGGGGAACCTCTGCGCCTGCTGCAGGGGAGGCCAAAAACAGCTGGAGAGCTCCTGGGCTCCTCCCAAGGGTGGACATGATGAAAAAAAGCAGAGACCTTCTGCTTGAGCCTGCTGAGAAACTTCGGGGTCTCCAGATCTGGAAATGAAGAGCTAAGAAACCGGGATGCCTGCAGTGCCTCCCCTTTGAGGCTGGATCGTCTCACCAGGACCCCCTGAGAGATGACAGCACTGGACTAAAGGCTATAGGATTTATTGGTGTGCAGATTTTAAGAGAGACACACTAGACCAAAGTGTTTTGGTAATAGGGCCTTTCTGAATTCAGCCCGCGTCTCTGGGTGGACAGTGCTGGCTTCACTGATGTGCACAGCGACATGCACAGGTGACACTGTTCCTCACCTACTACTCGATTTAAATCAGGAAGAATACGTGCAATTACACCTTCACAAAGGGTGGGGCAGCAATTTGATGACCTCCATTTGCAAATTTTTTATTTAGTTTAGCTCTATGAACTTTACTAGGAGAAAACCTGGAAACCCCAATCCAACCGGAAGAGACCGTGAAGCCTGGCAATACATGGAGCATCCCAAAGGAAAGGTGGGCCTGCAGTGACCGGGGACGGCAAAGCCTCCTTCCCCGGGGTTAGGGAATTAGGGTTCACAGGCTGCGGGTCCCACATCTCCCAGCACAACTTCACGGGCTGCCCCATCACCTGCCTCCGCTTTGCACAGCTTGGATCAAAAGCCAGTGCTGAGGACCAAAGGGGCAGGAGTCAACATCGCTGAGTGCTGGGGAGGTAGGGTATTTTGGGAACGGGCTAGAGGCCAGTAAGCTTGGGTGTGACACTAGGAAAATCGTGCTTTGCCATGCTGTAGATTGAAACCCATGAGACTTAATTGCTGCCTTCCTGCATGACTTAAAAGAGGATGTGGCCACACCACCCACACTGATAGCCTTGAAATACAAAATCCCTCTTCTGTAGCCATAATAATAGAGATGGCAGCTAGTGTCAGGGGAGTTCAAGAATTGCTCATCAGTGCAGCAGCCACAGATTTCCTCCTTAGCAAAGGTGCAACTCCACACTGCTGAGGAGGGAGGCGAATCTCACCTCCTGGGAAAACCAGAAGAAATGCGATGGAGCAGACGCACACATCAGGCTGTTCAGGTGCACATTACTGGAGGAAGGTTAATTGCATTTCTTTAAAGAAATGTGAAGTTTGCAAGGCTACTGTGAAGTAAATGTTTGCACCTGCTGGATACTGTTTCTCCTTGCTACCCAGGGCCTTCTCCTCTAGAAATCAGATTTTAAAAAATTCTTTTGAACTGACCAGATCGGAGGCTTCCCTGCAAACCCATTTTTCATCTCTTCTGTGGTGCTTGTGCCCTCGGAGGGTACAGTTGCTTCTTTCACCTCTTCACAAGTCTTAGATGTTCGTTCCAGCTCTCCTCCCAACACTACCCAGTAGTGCCCTTGGGTTGTGTTCTCCTAATCCTCTCACCCTTCATTCAGCAGATGGGACACACCAGGGCACGTCGTGTACCAGCACCCAGAGAGACCATCATCTGAGGACAAGAAATTCACTGCTGTTTATCTAAGTAGTTTTCATCCAAATAGGACAGAGCACTTGAGCTGTAATAACTCCCCTAATGGACTAATAAAAGAGGAAAACTTACAATTTAGCAGAAAAGCTGAGCTCTCAAAAGTACTCATTAATGTTGGAATGGCTGTGATGCAGAGAGAATAGCTCTGAAAGGAAGGAGATTATAACAAACTCTCGGATAGAACAATATTGGTTCTGGAGTCCTCAAGAGCTTTTGAGCTTTATCCCACAGGCTGAAGCCCTATCCCAAAGGCTGGAGGCCAACCCCCAAGTCCCACTGGCAAGAGCAGTGCAGCCTGAGAGCTAAGCCAAGAGTACAGGTTAGATAAAATATCAGAATAAAGTTCACAGTGCTATGTCCTAGTTAACGGAGAGTTGTTTCTGCTCTTTTGTTTCGCTGCAGTCCCCTCTA